GACCGCTTCTAACCTCATGGAAGTTGTCTTTGATCCATTATACTGTATCCCAATGTAAATTGTGTGAATGTATGTAAAAAACTGCATCCACCAGTGTGAATTCTACTGCTTACATCAGCATTTTGCAACAAAAAAACTAGATTTTACTAGTTAATTCTGGATAAGGCCAGACGCCTAAACACATGTCAGCTAAGACGGCAAAAAAATGCAAAATTCCCTTCTGGTTGTTTTATTTTTCTTTTTATGTTCTTACAAACCCTGAAATAAATTAACTAACATAAAATTTTGAAAAAAAACTTGAATGACTCTAATTTCTTACCCTTGATTTAAAGGAAACCAAAATTCGACTTTCCTCTACGAAAGCGTATATCAGAAAGGCAAGAATTATTCAGATGTCAAAAATATATCGACAACTGACAGAAAATAAATTACAATACCCATAGAACTTCGTTCTCCATAGATACACACTGAGTAAACTGATTTATGGGATAAGATTGTTATACTAAACACATTACTAGGTTATAATTAACTGGTTGCATACCTAATAGGAACTCATTTAGAATTAAAATTATTTGAATTAATGTAAACAATTATTGACTATTAAAATATTTATTTTAACAAACGAGCTGAGATATATTTAATCAAAAAAAATTACATTGTACGTGAAATGGACATTTTTCACGTTACAACATTCAGAGGTACTGTTATATCAGGAAACTTGTTAGGAGTCGAGAAATAAAATTCATACATAAAACAAAAACAATATATTCGACACCACCATGATATAGGCAGCTGAATGTACACACAAGTAATAAAAAAAACACCATCAATTGATCAATGGTTGTATACATTAGAAATGAACAGTTTTATGATTAATAAATACCTTTACAAATACAATATAATAGTCATGCACAGATAAAGTTTTATGGGCGTATCTCGAGATAATATAGTAAATAAAAAATGAATAACAAATGATATAAAGTTAAATTCAAAGGATACAAAAAGATTCTGAATTAAAAATTTAACCAACCCTCACTTGGTTATCTGTTTTAGTTATTAGTTGATTATCTGTTTGCACTGTATAATGATTAACTGAGAATTAATTGTTCACAATTTAAAAGATCTTAAAAACTGATTAAAAGTTCATATAAAATTATTAAATGTTCCTTGAATTAAATAGTTAAATCGTTAGTTAATCTTAACCACACGTAAAGACATGATTGAAAGTAGATTCGCCCAGATAATTAGAGATAATATGATTATGATAACTTACAGTAATTCTCGATGACTGGTACACTGCACTGAAGCTATATATTATACTTGTATCAAGCACTGAAGTTATTTAAACTGAACGGTACTTTATAACTGTATTTAATCTAATATAGTATTAGATTTAAAACTCAAACTATATAACTGTATACACACTAAATAAAATGCACAGAGAAGGTAACACAGAGACGGTAATATGAGCAAGCGTCTGTCCTCAAAGACTGCCCGACCAACCATCCTTACTCAAAGACCCGGCTAGAAGTAATATGATTTCTCTAAAATTTTACCAAACTACCCAGAAAGGTGGGATATCTCCTCTTCAAAAACGACAGATCAGCCTGTAGGTATTTCTAAGACGACAAAAAGATTCTAAAGGTTCGAGGTAAACAACAATACCAGCAATTGGACGTGAGAAAAATAAAATCTTTCGGATTAGGTCCTTATAGAAAATTACTATGAACGTGCGTTCGACGATATTGTTTGCCAAAGTATCAGACAGAAACCCGCCTTAAACCGGGAAAGGATTAAATAAGGATTTAACAAACCGGCGTCTTTAAATAAGTAGGTAGATTCTTCTTTAACATTTCGGTAGTTTGCAATAAAATTTTCTAATCGTAAACACGACCATCATCGTCTCAGCCACAGGGGTAAGAGATTTAACAATAATTTAATATTTTAATCATAAAAAAATGTTACAATGTAATTCAAAGTTAATTTAACAACATTTAAAGGAATTTTACCCATGTATCTAGTAGCTTTAAACATATTACCACACTAAATATTACCCACACTTTTTTTAACAACCTTGGTAAAAATTTTAAATTTCATATTTGATTTAATTAAATTGGTTAAACTTTTAGGATAGCACTGATAATGGAATATTAATTCTGAAAACGTTCTGTGAAAGGAATTTTTAGATAATTTTTTAAGACTATTTTGGGTTCTAACTGTCTTATATTGAATCGAGTTCCATTATTCTCGGCACCGACAATAAAATTTTCAATTTGTAAAAATTATACGAGCCGTCATCGTGTTTTGGAGGGAACGTAAAGCCGTCGGTCTGCCTTGATTAGTGCTCATTGACAATAATCATCTCAACATCATCAGCTCACAGTTGTTCACTGTTAAACATTGACTTCCTCTAAAAACTAGCATTAAAATATATCTTGCGCTGTTCCTATCCAGTTAGTACGACATATTCTTTTCATGTCGTCATTCCATCTTGTGGGTAGTCTTCCGAGATTTCATCTATCCAATTTTGGTCTGTGCTCTTAGATTTTTTTGGTCCATTTATTATCTTTCACTCTAGGGATGTGTTCTGTTCACTTTAATTTAATTTGAGCTATGTGTTTTATAATGTCCCCTACATAGACCTTCGGATTTTCGACACTTAGTTCGACCACGATTTGATAAATTACGCCTTTGAGAGTACTGAAAGATGAAATTAAGTAGAGTAAAATATGTGAAAACTGTAGGTTTTCCTAAAGGCATTTTCGTGAAATTTGAATTTACTTTTGTAAACAAAATCTTCTTTTGTAAAAAAATGTTCTACAGTATGATATTTTACGAATCCACAGAGGAGCATTGATTTTATTTTTAAAAAATTTAGCATAAGACTACTAGTGCCCTAAGGATGTTAATTATTACTTAAACATGTAATGTTTTAGGTCACTGTCCGTGATTTTTACCTTCATGCCACTTAAAAGATTGGTAGTTTTCATGATATGGAACATGCAAAAAGAGGCATAACGACAGGTCATGAAAACAAAAATTTTTTCCTTAAAAAACCCTCGAAAAATTAGGAAAATTCGATTTTTAGAAAACCGTATCCTAGTTCAACTCTTGTCCTATTATATGCTTATCTCGTATGACATTTTTAGTAGACAAAAACGCATAAGGAATATATTCATAATTAATATTTTATTGGGAATAAGCCACAATTAAAGGTAAAAGTTAGTTTATTAACGTTTTAATTTCCACTTCGGAAATCGTTCTCAAAATACAAACATTAATAAATTCAACAAAATTTGTTTTTTGTTACTTAGTGAAAAATTCTTTTGAAAATTTAATTTTATCTGACTCATTTATATTGATAATTCAATATAAAATCTTGGTCGAACTTCGTATTGAGACCCGATGAAGTATCAATATTTCTTCTACGAAATTCTTCGTTTCTTATCCTATCCCTTAACATTATACCCAACAACGATCTTTCCATTCTACGTTCCGTCACTTGTAATTTACGGGCAGATGACCTTATAAGAGTAAAAGTCTCTGCTTCATATGTAAGAACAGCTTGGATTAAAGGACACTGGACACTGATTAAAGGCTCTTTATTTTAAGCTAATAGGTACATTAACTTTAAAAATATCACACTTCACCCATCATTGCAGTATAGGCGGGCACTTTTAACACTTTCACACGCTTCTTCTGTAGCTAAGGATCATCCACTCTTCGAAAATACTTTTTCTATAAATAATCTTGACTTTCTCTTTAATAAACCTCGTACTGGAAAACCTTATTACACACGAGTAAGATCAATTCTGAATAATTTTGATACAAAATCCCAAACGTATTTCAGTGTAACATTCAACATTCAGCTCCATGGTTAATAAGCATCCCAAATTGCAACACTTCTCTAATAGAGTTCTCCAAAAAATACAATAACAACATACTAATTAAAAACAAACTTAACGAGATTCTTGAACGAGACTACCTTAACTGCACAAATATCTTTACCGATGACTCTAAATCTAATGAAGGCATTGGTTGTGCATTTGTTACTCCAACGTCTACTTTCAAATTTAAACTACCGCCTTGCTCAAGTGTTTTCACCGCTGAATTGTTTGCTTTGTAGCGTGCCCTAAAATATGCAAACCTCTTAAGAATTTTAAAACCTCTGTTTCTCACGGACTCGCTCAGCTCTCTTCTTGCAATACAGCATCTGTATCCTAATTAGCCCCTGGAGCAACTAATAAAAACTGAACTACAAATCGCCCAAGAGAACTACATAACCTCTAAATTTATATGGATCACACTGCATATTGGAATTATCGGCAATGAAGAGGCAGACAGTAGTGCTCGTGATGCAGCAACAAGTGCGGAATCTGAATTAGTGCGTGACAGTGTATGTAAAGATCTCAAAACGTTTTTTAAACAAAAAGTAATTGGTCAGTGTCAGCGCGAATGGTTTCTATCGCAATCTAAATTAAGATCACTAAAACCAGATACACGACAGTGGAAAACTGGTGCCAGTACACGGTTTATTTAAACGGTTCTAACGCGCCTACGTATAGGACACACTAAGATCACACACTCTTATATACTTTCGGCCAGTGAACGCCCCCTGTGCGACCTATGTGCTACGCCTCTTACCGTCGCGCATTTGTTAATTGAGTGTCCAAAATTCCATAGAGAACGTTTAATAAACAATATACCAAATACTCTACCAGATTTATTAGGAGAAAACTGTCCCGTTAAAAACTTATTAAATTACCTAAGGTCAATCAATATTTTGTATCAGATTTAAAGTTTTATTTACTGAGTAACGCCGCTAATAACCTGTTGGTGGATGCGGCAATGTTTTTCTTTTTAATAAAAAAAAAATGCTACACAAGGTTTATTTGTTGTGGCTAAATAGTTATATAATATTATTATACTATATTATTAAATTAATATTATATTCTATTAGAACTGACTTATAATTTAAACTCATCTGGCGATTTTTTTAGTACCGATGCCTTAATTCAGAAGACAATTCGAAAGAACTTTAAATATTGTACTGTGATAACCATAGCACATAGACTCAATACAATCATGGATTCCGATAAAGTTTTAGTAATGGACGCCGGTCAATCTGTAGAATTTGATCATCCGCACATACTATTAAAAGACGATGAAGGATATTTCAGTAAAATGTTAAAAGAAACTGGGACAGTGACTGAGAAGGCTCTTAAGAAGATAGCGGAGGAACATTATAGAAAATTGTTTCTGGATGAGCAAGAGTAATAGAACCTTATAAAATATTAATATATTGTTTATTTTTAAATTTATTTTTAGGTTAAAACTTTTGAAAAGTGAAAAATGAAGAAATACTTTTTACATATCACAGGATAGTTGACGACAGATTTATATTTTTCTTAAGAATAAATATATTTATTATTTCTGACTTATTATTCTTCTTTTATTGGAGACAAGTATGTAATTTTTTATCAATTTGGCAATATTTCTATCTTACAGATAAAAATTCTAATAGAGAACCAAGGAAAGGGAAAACATAAAAACTAATCTCCTAAATTGAGGTTCATACGGAAAAGCAACATGTATGAACTTAATATAATTGTTGATAAAGAAATCAACAATAGCGGAGTAAAGTTGTAAACATGAAATGATACAGTAGACTCGCGATTATCCGAGGTAATTGGGACCGGGACTACCTCGGATACCGAAAAAACTCGGTTAACATAGATTTGTTATATGTACTGATAAAAAAAATGTATACCTACGCAAATAATGATTAATGTGTTTATTTTAATAATTAAAAACTAATATAAAAGTAGTATAAAAGATAAAACAATTTACCTTATAAATGTTATTGTTTAAAAAAGACTTTGATTGATTTTTGTTTTAACTTCATTCCTCTTTTTGAGGCGGCGATGTTGCGAGAACGTTGAAAATTGAGCACGTCTAATGGTGTCGATTCTTCTTGTTGCTCGATGTATGCGAGAGCTGCTTCAAAAGACTTCAATCCATCGGAATGAGAAATTTTTTGAGTTATCTCATCTGTATCTTCTTCATGAGTGACGTTTAGAACTAGATTGGCAATTGCATCATCTGTCAGTTCCATTTCTTCATCTAGATTCATCCAATCGATGATGTCTTGGTTTCCAATTGGTTGTTCTACTGGTAATTGATTGGCTAGGTTGGTTATATATTCAACTTCACCGTCATCAGTTTCATTTTAAACGTCTTGTGTTTTGTTGTTTATCTTAAATAATTTTTTCCACGACTTCTGAATAGTAGACACTTTTACATCGTCCCAAGCAGATGCAATCCAATAGCAAACATCTTTAACCGTGATTTTCTTCAGTGTCTCAATTACAGTCAGCCCTTCATCCATCTTAGTTATCAGTACCTGAAGAAGCTTTCGCCGATAATTCCTCTTCATTGCCTCTATAACGCCTTGGTCTAGCGGTTGGATGAGAGACGTCACATTGGGTGGAAGGAACACAGCTCGTATGTCACCACTAATCAATTCACTCGCATCTGGGTGGGATCGTGGGTTGTCCAACAACAACAAACCTTTCCGAGGCGGATTTTTGTTTATTAAGTAGGCATCAATGACTGGCACAAAGTCATTAAAAAACCAGTCCGTAAAAGCGCTACAGTCCATCCATGCATTGCGTTGGTTGCTATAGATGGTAGGTAAGCAATTTATTTGGACGTTTTTGAATGCCCTTGGATTTCTGGATTTTCCGATTCAAAGAGGTTTTAATTTTAATGAACCAGAAGCATTGTTGCAAATCATGATTGTGACTCTCTCTTTGCTTTTTTTGTAACCTGGTGCAGTTCCTTCATTTTTAGCAGCTAGTGTTTTTGATGAAAGCATTTTAAAGTTAAGGCCTGTCTCATCACAGTTAAATATTTGGTCTGAAGTTAGTCCATCTTTAAGGATAATGTAATGTTCCTCTCGGAGGAACCTGTAACCTCTAAAGAGCGCGTCCCCAGGTGGCGGATAGGGGAATGCCCGACCCGGTTTACCGGTGGGTAGGAGGGAAATAAAATACCTCCCGTGGACCAACAGGTAATTCACCGAATGATTGCCGGTATAAGCAATCCCCCACTTATGACCAACGGCTGCGGGCGGATGAGTTATTAAGTGGAAGGGCACTCTTTTGTCCAAGGGTTGGGAAACTGGTCCTAAAGGCGGATGAATCGAAAAATATGTCAACAGCGTAAGGATGCAGAAGGCAACGGGGAACCACTGCATTAAAGACTCTTAGAGTACCCCTAGTAAAGTCATGAATGGCAAATGACAAGTAGAGTAAACAAACTTACTGATTATGGAGCACGGAATCCAAGATCCGGCAGGGAAGGAATAACTGTAGATCACAGGGCCTCCCAGGTCGTAAACCAGAGAAATCCCTGTGGACTTAAGACATTGAAAATAGCAACCTGGAATGTCAGAAGTTTATATGCAAGTGGTAAATTAGCGAACGTACTGCTTGAAATGGAAAACCTCCAAATTGATGTTTTAGGTATAAGTGACGTACAGTGGCCAGGTTCAGGCAAACAAATTACAAATAATGGAACCATGTATTATTCAGGTAACAACGAGGTCAATCATCGTTACGGTGTTGCTATCTTAGTTGCAAAAAAGGTCAATAACTCTGTGGTAAGTTTTACTCCTTATTCTGATAGGATCTTATCAATACAACTACAGTCTAAAAAAGGTATAGTAAATTTTATTCAAGTTTATGCTCCTACGGCAGATAAAGATGACGACGATATCGAACTGTTTTACCATGATTTGGAACAAGTCGTAAAATCAATGAAAAAACATCACACTACAATAGTAATGGGCGACTTCAATGCCAAAATTGGCCAGGGAAGAGTGGATGGATATGTGGGGGAATATGGTCTAGGAAATAGAAATGAACGTGGTGACCGTTTGATACAATTTTACCAGACGGAAGAATTTGTAATAGCTAATACACTTTTTAAGATACCAAAAAGAAGGTTGTATACATGGAAATCTCCCGGTGATACAACGAATAGAATAATCCGAAATCAAATTGACTTTGTCCTTATTAGACAAAGATTTCGTAATTCTATACTGTCTGCCAAAACTTACCCTGGAGCAGACATCGGTTCAGACCATAACCCCATAGTAGTCACATTACGAACCAAATTAAAACTGGTTAAAAAACCCACACAAAGTAGAATTGATATTAAGAGATTAAGGGAACCACAAACAAAGGAACAAACTGTAAAAACTCTTACTGAAAATATACGTAATGCCCAAGAACTGAATAAAAGTAGCTATAACATTGATCAGAAATGGGAAAATATAAAAGCAGCAATAATTAAAACAGCAAATGAAAACTTAAAACCAAAGAATAGAAAACATAAAGATTGGATGACTGAAGAAATACTACTATTAATGAATGAAAGAAAATCATTCAAAACAAAAAATCCAATTAAATATAATGAAACTGATCGATTAATAAAAAAGAGAATAAAAGAAGCTAAGGAGAGAATGTTACATGAGCAGTGCCAAGAACTAGAAGAAATTGAGAAAAAATATGACTTTTTTAACATGCATAAAAGAATTAGAGAATTAACAGGAATGAGAAAAACACTTCAAACTAGGCAACTAAGAGATGAAAGGGGTGCACTTATAACAGATATAAACCAAAAAATGCAGAGATGGACACAATATATAGCACAACTATTTGAAGACAAAGAGAGAACAGAAGCACCAAAAGAATTTAAGGATGATACTGGGCCTGACATTATACGAGAAGAAATTGAATATGCAATGAAACAAGCTAAAGATGGTAAATCTCCCGGGCCTGATGAAGTTCCTATCGAATTACTTAAAATTGTGAATACTGAATCTATTGATCTTCTTTTGGATCTATTTAATACCATATATAGAACAGGTATAATACCTAAAGAATGGCTCCAATCAACATTCGTACTGCTTCCCAAAAAAGCCAATGCAAAGGAGTGCAATGAACATCGCACCATAGCCTTAATGAGTCATGTCTTGAAATTGTTTTTAAAAGTAATTCACAATAGAATACATAAGAAATTAGATGAAGGCATAAGTAATACACAAATGGGATTTAGGAAAGGACTGGGAACACGAGATGCACTGTTTGCAGTAAGTGTTCTTTCGCAGAGATGCTTAGATATTAATCAGGAAGTATATGCCTGTTTCATTGATTTTGAGAAGGCATTTGACAGAGTGCAGCATAATCGACTTAAAGAAATTTTATTAAATAAAAACATAGACAGTAGAGACATTAGAATCATCTGTAACCTCTATTGGAATCAAACAGCAAAAGTGAAAGTTGAAAACGAACTGACTAAGGATATCCAGATTCGCCGTGGGGTCCGCCAAGGGTGTATTTTATCACCCTTGTTATTCAATTTATACAGTGAAGCCATCTCAGAATTAGCGCTTGCCGAGATCAGTGAGGGCCTTATAATAAACGGTGAGCCACTTAATAACATAAGATATGCTGACGACACCGTCCTTTTGGCAGGAACACTAGAAGAACTGCAACACCTTGCTGAACAACTAAATATATATTGCAACGATTATGGACTAAAAATCAATTTGAAGAAAACCAAGTTCATGGTATTTACAAAAGCACAAAACATCAAAGTTAAGCTAGTACTAGATAATACAGAAATTGAACAAATATCTTCGTACAAATACCTTGGAGCATGGATCACAGAAGATACTGATCAGACAAAAGAAATAAGATGCCGCATTGAAATTGCGCGGTCAACTTTTAATAGAATGAGAAAACTTTTTTGTAATCGCGATATCAATATATCGCTCCGGATAAGAATGCTTCGATGTTATATTTTCTCTACCCTCTTGTATGGAGTTGAAGCTTGGACACTTAAAAAATCCAACATTAAAAACCTAGAAGCATTCGAAATGTGGTGTTACCGACGCATTTTGAAAATATCATGGATGGATCGCAAAACAAACGAACAAGTTCTCGAACAACTAGGAAAACAATGCGAAGTTTTAAATTCCATAAAGATCAGGAAATTGGAATACTTGGGGCACATCATGAGAGGTGAAAAGTACGAACTACTAAGGAACATAATGCAGGGTAAAATCAAAGGTAGAAGAAGCGTAGGAAGACGTAAAATCTCGTGGCTACGCAATCTCCGTGAGTGGTTTGGATGCAGTTCAATTGAACTATTCAGGCGAGTAACCAATAAAATTATAATTGCCAGAATGATTTCCAATCTCCGATAGGAGTGGAACTTGAAGAAGAAGAAGAAGGATAATGTCTTGTAATTTTAAATAAAATGTTCCAATTTAAGTTGAGTTAGCAGAAAGTTTTTCGCCACAAATATTCAATTGTCGGATGCCATATTTCTTTTTCCATAAGTCAATCCATCCTTCACTAGCACAAAA